AGTTTAATTTTAGTGATAACTTTCTTCAAATTATAACTGTTTTATTAAAAAGAAAAACATGAGTTCATTCATGCCACTGTTATTAATCAATACAACTGTAAACACAGTAGACTATGACCCAAATTGTTCATATTTTATTGATTTATAAATCCCAATATGTTTTATTGTTATACAATATTCTGAGTACATTTAAGAAGGTTGAAATTTCTCATCCTATTTATTCTGGTTTGATCAGTCGAAGTACAAGTAATTAATATATTATCCTTTTTATAAAATGTTTAATTCACTACCACTTTATACTTTGTATTGGTAAGTTAATAAGTTTTAAGGTAGACGAAGGTTCTCCCCTTGAATTGTTCATATTGTGAAATTTTATTGAATTTATATTGTACGGTTGTCAAAAAATCATTAATGAAACGTGTATTATTTGATTATTTACATAATTTTTAATCTTTTGTTCAACCTTAAATGAAACAATTATTTAGTCAATGTTAAAATATTACATATAGTTCTTTTGAAGACGAATATTCTTCCTTTTAGCAAATACATTGTGTTTTACCAAAATATTTGTTTCACCTGCTCAAATGTTTGGGTTACCTATTTTCCAACTGTATAATCATTTCACTAAACCTTCACATTTGAAATTCGTTTAAACCGAATAACCATGAATGTTTACTGTGTGTACTCACTTAGTAATAGGAAATACATACAACTTGTCACACATAAAATCACAAAACACTTGTTGACATATTCTTCTCGTTTTCTGCTCTTTGAAAAAAAAACGAAACTATGGACAAATATACCAGAATTTAAGCATGCAATACCTGATGGATGAAAAAGAATAGCATTTGAACCGATTATAGACTGTCTTCACCATTGAAGCTGAATTGATAATACTGACTGTTGAAAACATGTTTATGGAGTATAATTATTTGTATCATTACAATTCAAATGCACCTTGGCGAAAACTTTATTACAGTATTGCACGACATGCTAAGAATTACTGACTGTAACAAAACTTATAGTTATGCATAAAATTATTATTATTATTATTATGACTGCGGTAATAAATGGACGACCTGTATAATTCATTGACCATTACAATTTTTCCGTTTATTATCAGGGCGGTTAGAAATTGATTGTTCAATACTCTCTCTCTCTCTCTCTAATAAAGGTCACCTAAAGCTATTGATTCTCTAAACTTAGAAAAAGCTGTTGCTGGTTATCTTTTTTTCGCTTTTATTCATTTCACTATTTTTGTTTTGAATGTCAAGTCCTGAACTGTTTCACTTTCCTAACAACATTCCACATTGGTACAATCGACTTATTATTATACATAAAAATATATGTATATGTATGCATTATTATTATTATTGCATCCAGTGAATATATAATCATCATTATTAGGTGATTTCTAATATTCAATTATTGAGTCGTTTAGAGTATTATTCACAAGCTGTGAAAAATCGTAGACGACGATAGTCATTTCATCACTAGATAATACTATATCTACTTTGAGATTTTATGTGCGTGTTTTGTTAAATAATAATCTGTTGCTTAGTTTTTAATGATGATCTTACAACTGTCACACCAATCAAATAACCGGTTTTCTTAGAATATATTTAACTATCTTATTTTCTTGGTTTTAATGAAATACTTTAAATATTTTGCGTTTAATGATACAACGTATTACACTGAGATGCTTCCATTTTTTAAAATTTATTTTGTACATTTCATTATTCTAAACTTGAATAGTTGCCTCTATTTCTTATTCTATGACACTTAGTTCCTTACAGTACTTTCCCAAATCTGTTTGTTCTATCATCTTGTTTGGATTCTAATTTTTCCTTCTATCTCTTCAACTGTTAGAAAAATTTTAAAAACGTGACATCCAATATTTTTACTAAGTAAATTATCAATACAAATAACTCACTCCCACAAGAGTTCACTTGTGATGTGATACATATACATCAGTGGTAACGTTTTGTTATATGAAGCTGGGTGACGAGGGTTCAAATCGCTCAAGGAGCGTTATTACCTTCAAGTTTGCCTTGCCGACGAATGTCATCTATCACAAAACGTGACCTACAGCCTCGTGCCTTCTATCTCTAAACAATTAACATAGCTGCCTGACTGAATAATATTTGATAAAGATTTAAATCGTTTACAGTGATATTATTGTTTTCCTATGGGAATAATAGTATTGCTCGCATACACAGGCATAAGTAACTTTTAATATTCATCCCATGGATAATATACGTCTTATTCCGTTGTGTAACATTAATTAGTGGACCTAAATGCTTAATTACAAATAGTTTTCCTATTTTCTTCATTGTTTTCTTAACATAATGTTTACATTGCAGTCCGTCAGTCAGCTACAACGTAGGACCAGGCACATGTGCATCAGTCGAAGTTGCCATACCTCATTAGCACAACACGATGAACACTAAATTCATGGAAACAGTCACTTTAATGGTAATAATATATAAAAGAAAGATTTCATATGAGGATATGATACAGGGAAAAAGAATTAGTTGGTAGAAAAAAGGTACAAAGTAATTTTAACCTTGCAGTTTAAGGGAAGACAAAGAGTGTATACACTGACGCCATTGTGATAGATTCTGAGCCATGTCACCAAGAGTCTCCAACCATTGGTTACGATAGTCACGCGGACCCCCACCAAGTAATCTGCATCTACCAACATGGCTCAGACTAGAAGTTAGTGACTTCAAGCACTGATGCCAGGTTTTGGTTTGACCGCCCCTAAATTTCTTCCAACCATCCCCTACACTAGTCAGCACTGCGCGCTGTGGTGATCGGTGTTTGTGCATACGTAATACGTGGCCCAACCATCTCAGTCGATGATTTACCATCATTCCCTAATACTCTACGTCTAACCTCACCAATACTTTTCCGTTGGTCCCTACAGATGCGATCAATATTTCTAAGACATCCATGGTCAAATACTAGTAGCTTACGAATATCTTATACTCTTAATGGCCACGCTTTGTAGCTGTAAAGTAGAACAGAACGAAGTGCTGCTCAGTGTAATCGTACCTTAATTGATAGATGGTGACGTAAGTTGGCAAAAGCCAAACGAGCTTTTCGAATCCGTGCTGAGCTTTCGTCAGACACCAACCCATTAGGGCTGATCAGACTTCCAAGATGAGTGAAATTGTCAACGCGTTCGACTACTTCACTCCCTATCTTTAGTTCAGGTGTTGACGCAGACCAGTCCTGAAGCAACAACTTGCATTTAGAGGGAGAGAAGCGCATTCCAAACATTCTGGCATTGCTGCTCAGTGCTACCAAAAGACTCTGCATTTTGTCAGCGTCTTCACCAAATAGGACTATGTCATCTGCGTATTCTAAGTCGATAAGTGGACCTCCTCGTAGGAGATCAATACCCGAGAAATCAGTTGACGAGAGCGTTATTTCCATCAATAGGTCTATGATGAAGTTAAACAAAAATGGAGAAAGTGGACAGCCTTGACGGACACCACTTGAGGTTGCAAAAGCAGATGACAGTTCGCCATAAGCTCTGACTCGACTAGTAGTGTTCGAGTAGAGAGCCTTCACAAGGTTTATGTACTTCTGAGGTACGCCTTTCAATGACAGACACTGCCACAGAATCTCACGGTCTTCAGCGTCAAATGCTGCTTCTAGATTGCACTACCTTATCATGATCAATCAGTCTTAATGATTATCATTTATTATAAATGTTTGTATCCTCTATTTTTGATGTTCAATTTTAAGTCAATAATATTTGTTGACGTATATAAACTTCACGACCGCGGCTTACTGTAGAGCTCTGTTTATCAGCTTGAACATCACGACTGCATTTTAATCGCACATTCAAGTTGATGACGATAAAGTACATCCTTGATATTCCACAGTTACTCACTAATTGAGAAATGTAACTATGAGTTCTAATGTTAGAATCACCATAGTTTCTTATCTACTGATGATAAAATTAGAATTCGTCTACGTAAACTCGTTTAGTTTTTGAACAGTGAAAAGATCAACACACTTCTGTCCATATGAAAAGAAGATGGAGACGATATTATGCAAAAATTTTACTTTTTTCTCCGAAAGTATTATAGAATTTATTTCAAATAATAAAACTGGTAACAACGCCCTAAGGAATTAGCCGTCTGGTGGTAAATTAACCCTGATTTGCTATTAGAAGCTGACAATCCATTTATCTTGAAGTGACTTAAAATGTTCCTAACACTTGTACCTTTATCTTTGTTTATCCAGTGGATCATCAACAGTAGAAATGTTCTTGTTAACGATCATAATTCATAGAATCAGCGTTTAACCAGTACATTGTAAATTCGGACAAGAAATTACTTGTTCATACTTTATTCATAGATTCTTTCATGTGTGTTTTTATAATCCTATATATATTACATCTTGTATAGGAAAAAAACAATAAACAATCTGACTATCTCAAGTTTATTCATTAATTATTGACATAAGTCGTATGTCGTATTTGGTGATATAATTGTGATTAAGATTAGGATACGTACAAAAAAATGCAAATGGGTCTTCTTGAAATTTGTATTTCAATTAAAACATTCTCTGTAAGACTTTAGAAAGCATGTTTTTTTGCGTTCTGATGTTGAAAGAGATCAATTATATCTTTCTGTTACGTGTGCTTTCCCTTTAGTAACGACACTGTATTTTCTTTATAAAACTAATAACTGATAAGTGTTTGTATAAATTTCCTAGTCATTTCGTTTATATTTTATATGGTATGTCGTATGATTTCTGGTCATGCACACACACACACACTTTAAGTTGTATGGAGTTTTTCTTCCGTTCGATGCTCTATATGTTTTTGACAACAGTTAATAAATGTTTAGTTATTTAGTTAGTTGTTTGTCTTGCAGCTAAATTAATGATTAATTTGTCATAAAATCTCGTTTGTTTTCTTTCCTATCTTTGATTAATTTTTCTTTGCTTATTGACAGTTCATTTCATTAATATCATTTCAGAAACAACCAGATGGCGGAGCTTTACTTGGACAAGGTAATGCGCTGAACAGTTCCGTAACTGGAGTTAGTGGTGTCTATCCTACTACCACATTAACTGGGGCTGGACTACCGAATAACATTTACAAAGATGTTCCTGATTACACTTATGATTTGGTTTACGCCCAATCTCCCAATGAAATGTCGTCTAGCACAGTTCCAAATGTAAATGAATTACAATATATGGAATTGTCTTTCGATCATGTTCGTCCTGGTCGCAATGCTAGTGTCAACTCAAGGAAAGGGCGTATTGGCACTTCACTTGGTGGTGGTAATGGTGTTGCTTCGTCTTCAATGACTCTATTCGGGACTAGTACACAGCCAGCTCCACACTCACGACCAATTGTTGCTTCTGTCCCACAAGGTCTAGATATTGTTGGAGATGGGCTTGGCGGTAATCGTTCGTCCATTCATCCTCGTGACGGTTATTCCTCTGCTTTCGCTGATCCAACGCATAGAGATGAATCATCGCATTACACTGAAATTGTTGGTTTTATGCAACCAAAAGCACATGCTTCTCAGTTGGTTCTCCAACAGCAACATGAAGCTACACAAGCGTTGTTAGCAATGCAGCAGAACAAACCACGTGTTTTCGTTTAATTTGGATGATCTTTTGTTTCTTCCTCTCTTTGTCTCCTTAGTTCTCTAATGGTTTATTCGTCAGTGGTATTTATAGAGTTATTTATGCCGTCAGATACTATGTACTACATTCCTACTTTGCTTTTATCGGAGCTTTTGAGCGTTATTGTGATCAACTTATTTTTCCAACTGTCTCATTTCGATCTTCGTTGCCCTTATTCTCGTTGGAAATAAATTAATAAACTATACCATCATGTTTTTCGGCGCATTGATCAACATTTCCCACTTCATTGTTCGTATTGTTATTATCCTTTTTCTCTCCCGCAACTCTTGCCAATGTATGTATGGTTATTACCATTTTACTCTTTCTGTCACTTCCGGCCTCTAAGTTATATTTACTTCGAGTTTCTTTATTCTTTAACCGGTCAACTGTTCTCCGTTTGTTCAGTCTCTATATCTATCATCTTTGTGTAACCAATTATACTAGACATATATATACAAACGTATATGAAATGTTTTTCGTATCGTCATTGTAGTCTGTACTTTATTATTATTATTATTATTATTATTATTATTTCTCTTTAGTCCCTGTCCTCTACTTTTATGATTATGATTTTTTTCCAGTGCAATTAGATTATTATTATTGCTTATTTATCCATCATACCTATGTACATACTACTGCTATTAGTACCAATATTATCAATAATATTGGCTTTGCTATAATACACCTACTGACTAAATAGTAGTAATACACATTGTGATCTTGTGATTTGGTCAAACTTTATTATTGTTTTGGCTATATACGTTTCTGTGTGGTTGTTTTTGTTTCATTCGTTATCTCATCTGTTGTTGCTTACTAATTATCGATTGTCTTTTAGTTATATAGATAGATAAATAGATAATTTCTATATATCCGTAGTGTTATTATTCTCTATTTACTTTTCTCGACCTGTCTCTGTATGTGTTTGTGTATACTCACATATTATCATAGTACTCTGATAGATTTTATGATGTCTATTATTGCGTAAACTGCACACGTTCTTTTCTCTTCTATTTCCTCGTTTTCTTCTATTTATGTTCTTCTGTCTCTTATTAATACTGATATTTTTTTATTCATCTAAACTGCATTTTTAAAGATTATTCTCAATATCTCCTGTTTTCCATGTTCCACCTACTCTCTTTCTCTCCCTCTCTCTCAACTGTCATCAATTATGATACACATCGACAAGTCAGTTTTATATTATTATTATTATTGTTATTTAGAGTTTGTTCCACCTGTTAGGAGTTTATTGAATTTTTTTTAATTCCGATTCTGATTTCAGAAATAAAAGATAATCATAATTATTAATAATAATATTGTTTTGATTAATTCGCATTTCACGTTTTGCGTTTGTTATTGCTTTTTATTGATATTTCATCTTTGTTATTATTATTATTATTATTACTATCAATACTGCTACTAATATTTGGTCGTAATTTCTTAAAATTTTGCATACAACTGCCGTTTCTTTACATACATACATACTATTTCTAGCACTACTCATACTGCTGCTATCAGTAATACTCTATTTCTAATAAACTAATCATAAATAAGTCAGTAAACTTGATAACCATTCTTTCCACTTTCTTTCTATTGATCTGTTAAAATAAAATCATTATTCTGTTATTATTACTTTTACCGATACTGTTTTGATTCATATTGCTGTCGTATAAATAATTATTGTGAAAAATGATAGGTTTTCTTCAATGATAATAAAGGCGAACCAAATATTTCCCTCTTCTTCCTATTCATTTTGATGATGTCTTTTTTCTATTTCCTATGTTTATCTATTAGTTTGTTTTTGTCAAATGTTTTCTTCTTATCATTATTACCATAGGAGTTCCCTTCGAAATTGTTCTCTGTTCTCTTTCTGTGTATTTCTTTCATTTGTACACAGATCTTTTGAATTACTTATACTTACAAGCATAAATCTGCATAAAAATTATGAATTGACAGTTCAATAAATAATAATAATAATAATGATTAGAAAATTTTCAAATTCATTGTTACCTGATTATGTCTGTGTATATTGTCTGATTGGTTAATGTTAGAAATAATTTCACAGGATTAATACTATATTACTAAAAGTTTGGTTTTTTTCTTATTATAAGTTGTTTATTAGTAAAACCGAATTGTAACTGAAACTATTTAAAGCAGCTATCATCTTTACTTGAATGAAATTTTAGTAGGCCTAATATATATCTCACTATTAATATCAACTTGAATAGTAGTTTACCACACTCATTAATGAAAAATCATTTCTATTCTTTACGGTTACTGTACTGTTCTGTAACATTTTAACGGTATGAATTCTTAAGTAATCAAGTTTTCTAACATGTAATTTCTGTGCTCCGTATTTTTGAAAAAAATTGTTTTGCCTCGATAGGATCGTGATATTTGAATTCATGTTAATGTGTGCTATCTTCAATTCTATTAATATTATATCTTTAACAGTTTTCTAAGTCCCCTAAACGTTCAATTTTTGAATCGTGCCACAAAATTAATTTCAAATTTAATTCATTTATAGAAATCAATTCATATGTGAATGGTTTCTTGTAACATTTGGTTTCTAGATACAATAAGAAAATATAACGATAATTCAGTTCTTGATCAATCGGATTGAGAAATAACATGACAGGAACAATCTCTATATTTACTGAAAATACTCAGAAGATAGAGATAGGCTTTAAATAAATCAAGACATTAAAAAAATTTTATGAACTTTGCGAACATTTTTTATCATGTAAAAGATAGATTTCAATTGACGATCTCACGTGATTACAAAGTATTATTTTTCTATATACTAAGAGAAAACAACTTACAGAGTCACATCTGTCATTAGTAACAAAGAGGAAGGGAATCGTTTGATGCTCAGTTAAGAATCTCTTCTTAAAATTTCGCTAATAATGATAAATACTTCAAGTATAGTCCTAATGTTAAACTTCATACAGAGAAAATAGTTCTGATAGGTCGGAAAAACACATAAAAGGAAATCAAAAGTTTTGCTCCGTGTATTTACAGTTTTTAAAAAAAGTCATGTCCTCACTTGTTATTAATAAAATAGATTTGATCTATTGGAAATTTTGAATGCATTCTAGATCTTTACAAGAGAATTTGATCGTTTTAGCTTGTGTAATACTGTGCCAATATTCATTTATTAGTACTTCGCATGACAAAAAAATTGAAAGTTAGTCAGCAAATTGTGTTCCAATTTTTTTTAAATCAATGGATCATTGGAATTTGAACGCTTTTGACTATTCATTCAAATTCTAATTGTCTCAATACACTCATGTATTACAAGATCTAATAGATTCGCTCATCTTATTATCATTATCAGCTCAGCGCTGGATTTTGGAGTTATTCCGAAGTTATAATAAGACTCAATATATGTATCTAGGATAATGCCACATGAATCTAATTCAGAAAATCTGTATACGAATGTTGATCTTGTTTGTGCTTTTTTAAAAAAAGTGAATATACTCCTATGAGAAAAACATATTATATAATATGTAGATTCACTTTAACGAAACAGTACATCTATAATACCTAAAATATCAATCTCGCATTACATATGCACTCTGATTGGTTGTCCAAGGTCATATTCATTTTACTAGCCATTGTTTTAATTACAGCTAACTAGTTCATTCTTACTACTGTTTCTAAGAGTATTTCTACCTAAAAATCTAATGCAATAACATCCGTTATTTTTAAGCTATTAAAGTAGTTATATCATTCATTATTTAAGAATGAAGGAGAACTATGAAAAGATAATCTCTCTAATTGATCAGCATGAAGTAAACTCAATAAACCTATGTAGATATTGCTAACAGCATTAACTAACGTTTTAATAGCTATTTAACATTTAAATCATTGTATAATGAAAGGGGGAAATTACCTAAGTTATACTAGCGAAAATGATATATATATACCTACTATAATTGAGTCTTGAATAGAAAAGAAAAAGTAGGCTGAAATCGATTTTCTTTCTCTTGTTTATTTGTACATATCAAATCTCTCTCCATTTGATTGGTTGTGAAGGGCGACAAAAAATTTTTATCTCAAATTGAACAAAACATATATATTAAACAAGATAGAAAGCATAAAGATCAGAAAAAAAAAGAGAAATATGTATTGAGGATTCAACCTTGATTATTAAAATAGAGTAATGAAAAAGAAATGAAATGACAGGATAGATAGATAGATAGAAGATATGAGAAATAAAAGAAAATTTGACCTAGATATAAGAAAGATGAAATAGTTATCAATCTATTATTTTTATATTAAACTAATTTGAATATTCTGTTCTATAGTTGATTTTCTCTCCCCTTTATATTGATTTTAATATTTCTATTCTCAAGATTAATTCGCGTGCGTGTTAAAGCTCTTCTTTAGATTCATGAAATAAAAACTATAGCCACAGTATGAATGAAATAAATATTCTTCACTTGTTTACATTAATATCTTCTATGTTCATTGCCTTCTCATTTACATTTATTATATCGATATCATAAAATTAAGCATATTGAGAAAAAGCTTTGAATGTATTTTTCTAGTGTTAAATTAATTTACATCTCGTTCTGTATGTTAAAGTGTATGGCTAATTGTTAAAACGGTTGGGTTTCCACGCTGACACGTATGGGACGTTAATTTACCTTAGATGAATATCTACACTAGATTCCCTCCCAGTATCTATTCTACAGGACTTCAACACAACTCAGATTAAGAACACGTGATTAGCCTGACCACAACGTAAATATATTTCCACACCAAAAACCCGACACAATCAAACAACAATGAACAATCAATAATGAGTGAGTCCCAATAATATTAAGGATAAGGGAATATATAACTCACCTGACACCTGTCAGACTATCTATGAAATGGATATTGATCTTATGGACAAGATAACCGATTGATATTGAAGTACTGGTACTTATATAATCCACCCAAATTTATGACACAACTCGGTCGATTAATTGGAAACTACATTTCATCAATAACACCAATCACTGACCATAATTGATAATTAGATCAAACTCGATCGTCATCAAATAACAGTCATACCGAGAGTCTATATGATATATCCCGATGAGGATAATGAATGGTAACTGCCGGGATCTATCTATGATCTAATACTATACATATATTTTGTTGTATAATTATTAAGTAACTAAACTATGTATATTCATATTTCTCTTACTAGAAGCTTTAATTTAACCTGTAGACTATTATTATACGCTTTACCATTCTTAAGTTATTCTCAGCCCATTAATTAGTCTCCCACAATCACAGCCACTTTTGGCTAGATGTTGTATAAATGTTATTTTCTATTTTATGGTGTAATGTGGTCTATTTGGTTTGTACATAAACCCAGTATGTTTGAAATACACGATTCATATCGCTGAGGCTGAAATTTGTGTTCTGGACTTAACAGGCAGGGCTAGGCAGGAAGAAAGACCGATAAGAACTGTGGACCGCCCTTACGGGTTTATGCGTCACTGGTCCGGTCGATAAGTCGCTGTTCTCTAATTGACGGTATCGTTGCATAATATATTAATAGGGCACAAAACCACAAGTTATAACACTATATTTGTTAACTCCTACTCTGTTTCTTTTTTGCCACATTGACAGCGCAAGCGTCAAGAACGAACCAACGTCAAATTGCAAACTAAATTCCCATTGTGAAAATTAGAACAAGATATGTAAGCGAACAATTGTTTTCAATTAGATCGTCATCAGGCTTTACTTTAATATACATGAATATTTAGACGAAAATGTTAAACCAATGAAGGCAATTCGGGTCACTAATCGCAATGAAATGAAATACGTCACCACACATAGGTAAAAGTACAAGCTGATAGTAGTAAGAATAATAAAATATGACAACAAAAGTCATATCAATAGTTCAACATTGGAAATAGAAGTTCAAATGTGGGTAAATAGGCTTAAAATAATCATCATAAAACATTAGAACCATTACGTATTAAGAAGTGTGAAAATAGTTAGATAGTGAAGAATACAAACGGAAAGAGGCGGAAAATTACAAACAAATAATGGATGTGAAAATAATGCTAATGACCTTCTATTTCCAATGTTTAACTATTAAAAAGACTTTCGTTATCGTATTTTATTATTCTTACTACTATCAGTACACCTGTCTTCTTACTATTACCTATTATGTGCGGTGCCATGTTCTATATCATTGTGATTATTAACCCAAATTGCCTTGATTGGTTTAGCATCTTCGTATCAGTCAGTCAGCTACAACGTAGGACCAGGCACATATATGCATCGGTCCAAGTTGCTATACCTCATTAACACAACAAGATGGACACCGAATTCATAAAAGTAGTTAATTCAGAGGTGGTAATATATAAAAGAAAGATTGCAATAAGGATATAGTACAGGAAGAAAGAATTAGTTGGTAGAAAGAAAGATATGAAGCAATTTTAATCTCTTAGTTTAAGAGAAGACAGAGTGTATACACCGACGCCATTGTGATAGATTCTGATCCAATTCGCCCAGAGTCTCCAACCATTGGTTACGATAGATGCATGGACCCCCATCAAGTAATCTGCATCTACCAACATGGCTCAGACTAGAAGTTAATGACTCCAAACACTAATGCCACGTTTTGGTTTGGCCGCCCCTAACTTTCTTCCAACCATCCCCAACACCGGTTAGCATTGCACGTCGTGGTAATCGGTGTTTGGGCATACGTAACACGCGGCCCAACCATCTCAGTCGATGAAGATTCATAACCTCATCAACAGATTTACTATCATCATTCCCTAATACCCTGCGTCTAACCCCACTATTACTTACCCGGTGATCCCAGAAGACGCCAGCAATATTTCTAAGGCATCTGTGGTCAAATAATAGTAGCTTACGAATGTCTTCTACTCTTAATGGCCATGTTTCGCTGCCGTAAATTAAAACAGAACGGACTACCGCGCAGTATACTCGTCCTTTTATTGATAGACGGATATCTCGCCTTCGTCAAAGGTGACGCAAGTTGGCAAAAGCCAAACGAGCTTTTCGAATCGGTGCTGAGATTTCGTCAGACACCAACCCATTAGGGCTGATCAGATTTCCAAGATGAGTGAAATTGTCAACGCGTTCGACTAATTCACTCCCTATCTTTAGTTCAGGTGTTGACGCAGACCAGTCCTGAAGCAACAACTTGCATTTCGAGGGAGAGAAGCGCATTCCAAACATTCTGGCATTGCTGCTCAGTGCTACCAAAAGACTCTGCATTTTGTCAGCGTCTTCACCAAATAGGACTATGTCATCTGCGTCGATAAGTGGACCTCCTCGTAGGAGATCAATACCCGAGAAATCAGTCGACGAGAGCGTTATTTCCATCAATAGGTCTATGATGAAGTTAAACAAAAATGGAGAAAGTGGACAGCCTTGACGGACACCACTTGAGGTTGCAAAAGCAGATGACAGTTCGCCATAAGCTCTGACTCGACTAGTAGTGTTCGAGTAGAGAGCCTTCACAAGGTTTATGTACTTCTGAGGTACGCCTTTCAATGACAGACACTGCCACAGAATCTCGCGGTCTACAGAGTCAAATGCTGCTTTTAAGTCAAGAAAGACCACCATTGTCGGACGCCGATAAGTATGCCTATGTTCTAGAACCTGACGAATGGTGAATATGTGGTCGATGCAGCGACAACTAGGTCTGAATCCAGCCTGATTCTCTCGTGTTTGCAGTTCACGAGTCTTAGTTAGGCGTCTGATAATTATCGAGGCTAGTATTTTAGATATTATATTAGTTAAACTAATCCCTCTGTGGTTGTCACAGGATGATTTTGACCCTTTCTTATATATTGGGACGATAAGTGATTGCGACCAGTCAGATGGGATAAAGTCTAATTCCCAGATCTTAGCTAAAATATTAGTCAACTTAATCGCTAAAATTGGACCACCATCCTTAAAGACCTCTGGAGCCAATCCATCTGGACCAGCTGCCTTTCCTCGTTTCAGATTAACTATAGCCTTCTCAACTTCAGCAAGAGTCGGGGGACCTACTTCAATGTTCCATTCACACTGTCTGGGAATGGAGGGTAGTTGTAGAGTAGCTGAAGGCCAGCTGAACTGTTCCCTAAAGTGTTCCGCCCATCGTTCTAAACGCCTGGACTTGGAGCAGATGAGTGTATCGTCTTTTTCCGATATAATCTCACTTACACTTGACTTATTAATTCCAGTTTCTTTTATTAGTCTGTAAAGCTGTCTTGTGTTCCCTATAGTCGCCGCCTTTTCCATCTCTTTTGCTTTCGATGCCCACCACTGCTCACGGTCGTTTCTTAGGCTTTTTCTTAACCTAGATCTGATTTGTTTTCGCTCTTCATCATGTTCAGAACATGATGGGACGAGTTTGCGAGAATCCATCAGTGTGACAGACCTTGAAGAAATCCACTGGTTCCTTGCAACTCTGTGGTTTAATTCACTAATAGATGTCACTGCTGTTTCCACAGCTGATTGTATGCCCTTCCAAG